TTTCCAGAGGCCTTCTTTCTTGCGGCCTTCCCAACATCAATACCATCAATTCCCCAATATAAAAGGTGTATACTAATGCGTTGATCCTCTGCTTTAACTGTTGTGCCCTTCTCATTTGTTCATATAGGATCGATATATTTGTCGCCATATTCCGGTTCTCATCGTAGGGTCATGGTGGAGTGCCCGCAGCATTGCATCCTGTCATTATTATATCCCTGGCGATTAAGGTAATGTTCGTCGCATTTATCTTATCTTATTTCTTCTTGCTTTCTCTTTTTTTTTTTTTTTTAATTTATTTCCGCCATACCTATGTCCCTTATCCCTATGGTGGTATGATCAGATTACATCATTCGACTTGTCATTACTAATACTCTATCGGCTCTTTATATTTCTTTAATAGCTGTCAATTTATTGGTCTTTTCAATACTTTCCTATCCATTGTACGTAAGCAATATACAACACTTGATTGAATCTCGTGTGTATATAGCGGACCTATCCATTTTGGATCTAGTTTATTACTCCATGAATTCTCTTGGGCTGCCTTATATATCAATACTTTGTCCCCTATGGTAAAGCCTCGTTCACCCCGGAGCCTTTGTTTCCATTGCGTCTTCAACTTCTGCTAAGTGGCATTTACACGTACTACTGTGTCCCTCCATTGCTGTGGCAGTACCTCTGCCAGATCAAAAACTTGTTGAAGTATCATTTCCTCTACTAGCTCCTCATTTTCTGCGGGGTGAATCAGGGTACATGCCTCCCTTCCATAGACTAGATAGAATGGAGTCATTCGTCATTTCTTGCTGTGCCATTTGGTATGCAAAGAAAGCAGATAGTATCATTAGATCCCAGTTCACTATATTGCTTACTGACTTGGCGATGGATTCGCATAACATATGGTTAAATCGTTCCACTAACCCGTTCGTTTGTGGATGGTATGGTGTGAAGTACAAGTAATTAATGTGAAACTTTTCTAGGAATGCATTTAACATGTGACTCCTGAAATTCGCTCCTTGATCCGATAGTAGGTTTGTCAGATATCTGTGTCGACACACTATATCGTTGTAGAGAAACTCTGCTATCTTCTGGGCTGTTGCTGCCTTCAGGGCATGAGCCTCGGGCCACTTCGTCATATAGTTGGTAGCAACTACTATATATTGATTCTTTCTAAGGGTAACGGGCAAGGGCCCCACAATATCGATTTTCACCTTTGAGAATGGCTTTCCTATAGGTATGGGTTGTAAGGGTCCACGTTGCTTGTTCTTTCCCCTTCTCTGACATTGGTCGCACGAATGCACATATATATGAATATCTTCATACAATTGCAGCCAATAGTATAGGTTTCGGATCT